AACACATTGACAAAAGAGCTGTACCAAAGAAGACTAGCGTCTCCTCTCGCCAGGGGTGTTAGGTCCACGGGGAGAAACGGCAGAAAAAACGGGCCTATTGGAGGGGCATTTGCTTACCTCAGCTTCGCCCAGTCCTGGCCCCCCATCTGGCAGCGTGTCACCTCATTGAAAGGGAGAGTCAATGTCCCCCCCCAGGTACCTGACAGACAGGCGTTATGTAAGGGGCGGGCGGTGAGGACACGGTTGTCGGCGGAACTCTGATGCGGGAGCTCCTGTCAAATCGGCGCCCATTAGGTTGGACCCACAGAAATAACCCACACTTTACAGATGGCCACGAAGCGGAATTGTTACTAGGGGCTCTGAGACGAGGAAGTGGCCTTTACGTATCTCTCTACCTCACTACGGATACTTCTACGCATCCAACCCCTTCACCGCGTCCTCTTTTCGTGACCCGTGAATGTCACCATCCTCTTCGACTCCAGCTGCAGCCTTTCTCGGTCGGTAAGCTGGCTTGCACTTGAACCCCATTTTCTCCAGAGGTGCCGCCTGATTTCCCCCCCTGCTGGTTGCTAGAAGCTCCGGCTTCACCTCCCCGCCAAAATGCAGGCCTCCTCGGGCATGTTGACCAAGGTACGCTCCGCCCTCGGCGCATTGGGTCTCAGACGAGATCCTATCCTCTGGTCGAGTCCATTGCTCACGTAGTGTACAGTTCGAGTCCAAGTCCTCCCGCGCAAAGGGCATCGCCTTCCACCCCAAGAGGTGAGCTTTGGACCCATAGCTTCCCATCTTCAAGTCTGCCCCCTTGCTGACGAACAGCTACCAGACCATGGATCCTCGTCGCACTTCACTCCTCCACAATTCAGCTTTGGGATTACCGCATGGGAACATTGATCGATCGATTCGAAGAGCACGATGGCCCAGTTCGAGGAATCGACTTCCACAAGACACAACCCCTCTTCGTTTCTGGAGGTGACGACTACAAGATCAAGGTCTGGTCCTACCAGACCCGCCGGTGCCTCTTCACCTTGAACGGTCATCTCGACTACGTTCGCACCGTCTTCTTCCATCATGAGTTGCCATGGATTCTGTCGGCATCCGACGATCAGACGATCAGGATATGGAACTGGCAAAACCGCTCTCTGAGTGCGCCCAACCCCTAGGATCCCGTGATGGCCGTGAATATGACTGACCTTGATTCGCAGTCTGCACCATGACAGGACATAACCACTACGCCATGTGCGCCCAATTCCACCCGAAGGAAGACCTTGTCGTCTCTGCCTCTCTCGACCAGTCTGTCCGAGTCTGGGATATTTCCGGCTTGCGCAAGAAGCACTCCGCTCCGACATCGATGACCTTCGAAGACCAGGTCGCGCGCGCGAATCAGAACCAGACCGACATGTTTGGTAACACCGATGCTGTTGTCAAGTTTGTCCTGGAAGGCCATGACCGCGGTGTCAATTGGGTTGCCTTCCACCCGACCATGCCGCTCATTGTGTCTGCTGGCGATGACCGACTTGTCAAGCTGTGGCGCATGAGCGAAACGAAGGCCTGGGAGGTCGACACCTGCAGAGGACACTTCCAGAATGCCTCTGGCTGCTTGTTCCACCCTCACCAAGACTTGATCCTGTCCGTCGGCGAAGATAAGACCATCCGTGTCTGGGACCTCAACAAGCGCACCGCGGTGCAGTCCTTCAAGCGCGAGAACGACCGATTCTGGGTCATCGCCGCCCACCCCGAGATTAACTTGTTTGCTGCTGGCCACGATAACGGTGTCATGGTCTTCAAGCTGGAGAGAGAGAGACCGGCATCGTCAGTATACCAGAACAACCTCTTCTATATCACCAAGGAGAAGCATGTCAGATCCTACGACTTCCAGAAGAGCACCGAAAGCCCGACTTTGCTCTCCCTCAAGAAGCTTGGAAGCCCTTGGACCCCGCCGCGAACCCTGTCGTACAACCCGGCCGAACGCTCCGTCCTCGTCACCTCTCCCTCCGACAGCGGATCTTACGAACTCATCAACCTTCCTCGCGATGGTTCCGGTGCCATTGAGCCCACCGAGTCGAAGCGCGGCCAGGGCAACTCAGCCATCTTCGTCGCTCGCAACCGCTTCGCTGTCCTGAACACGTCTAGCCAGACAATCGACATCAAGGATCTTTCCAATAACACGACCCGTTCCTTCAAGCCTCCTATCGGAACAAGCGACATCTACTTCGGCGGTACCGGCAACCTACTCATCATTACGCCCACCGCTGTTCATCTCTACGACATCGGGCAGAAGAAGAGCGTCGCTGAGTTGGCTGTCAACGGTGTCAAGTACGTTGTGTGGTCGAATGACGGGCTGTACGCGGCACTTTTGAGCAAGCACAACGTCACTATCGTGACGAAGACCCTCGAGCAGGTCAGCACATTGCACGAGACGATCCGAATCAAGAGCGCAACGTGGGATGATGCTGGTGTTCTGCTGTACTCGACCCTCAACCACATCAAGTACACGCTTCTGAATGGCGACAACGGCATCGTCCGCACCCTGGACCAGACTGTCTATCTGGTCCGTGTCAAGGGCCGTAACGTTTACTGCCTTGACAGAGCGGCCAAGCCCAAGGTTCTCCACGTCGATCCCACCGAATACCGATTCAAGCTGGCTCTTGTCAAGCGTAACTACGAGGAGATGCTCCACATCATCCAGAACTCCAGTCTCGTTGGTCAATCCATCATCTCCTATCTTCAGAAGAAGGGATACCCTGAGATTGCTCTGCAATTCGTCCAGGACCCCGCGACCCGCTTCGAGCTCGCAATCGAGTGCGGAAACCTGGACGTTGCTGTCGAGACTGCAAAGGAGCTGGACCGTCCTAAGCTGTGGCAGAGGCTGAGCGCCGAGGCTCTGGCTCACGGCAACCATCAGGTCGTCGAGATGGCTTACCAAAAGCTCAAGCAGTTCGACAAGCTTTCATTCTTGTACTTGTCTACCGGTGACCACTCTAAGCTGGCGCGCATGGCCAAGATTGCCGAGCACAGAGGCGACTTTACGGCACGCTTCCAGAATGCTCTCTACCTCGGCGAGGTCGAGGACAGGATTCAGATGTTTAAGGAAATTGACCTCTGTAAGTTGTTACACCGTGAGCAGTAATCAGACGTCGACTAACAAGACACAGACCCGTTGGCTTACATGACCGCCAAGTCCCACGGCTTGGAGGAGGAGTGCCAGGCTATTCTCGAGGCCACTGGCCTCACCGAGGACCAACTGGAGACGCCTACGATTGGAGAGGCGCTGACGCCCCCTAAGCCTGTCGTCCCCACGTTCAAGGCAAACTGGCCTACCAAGGCTACTTCCCAGTCCGTCTTCGAGAAGGCCCTGCTTGGCCAGGTTGAGGGATTGTCTTTGGAGGATACCCCTGCAGCTGCCAACGGCTTTGACGATGACGTCGAGGAGGATGTCGCTGCAAAGAAGAATGGCAACCTCATCGACGTTGACGACGACGAGGATGCGGCAGGCTGGGATCTGGGTGATGATGTCGTCCCCGAGATTGAGGGCGACTTCGTGAACGTCGACAGTGCCGACGCTGGTGGCGCTGGAAGCAGTGAGGCCGACCTCTGGGCTCGCAACTCTCCTCTGGCTGTGGATCATGTTGCCGGTGGCTCATTTGAGTCAGCAATGCAACTCCTCAACAGACAAGTGGGAGCAGTCAACTTTGCGCCACTGAAGCCCCGCTTCCTCGAAGTTTACCAGGCATCAAAAACGTATCTCCCGGCCTCTGCAAACCTTCCCCCGTTGGTCAACTATGTCCGACGTACGATTGAGGAGACGGATCCTAGAAAGGTGTTGCCAATTGTGCCCAGGGATCTCGAGTTCCTGGCCACCAACGATCTGCAACAGGGTTACAACTCGATGAAGACGAACAAGCTCGAGGACGGTCTTCAGATCTTCAAGGATATCCTCCACGCCATTCTTATCAACGCCGTTACAAGCGAAAGCGAGGTCGCCGAGGCCAAGAAGCTCATCACATCCGCCAGCGAGTATGCCGTGGCCATGGAGATCGAGCTCAGCCGTCGCAAGCTCGGCACGACTGGCGAGCAGCTTAAGCGCAACCTTGAACTGTCAGCCTACTTTACCATCCCGAAGATTGAGGTTCCTCATCGCCAGCTGGCCTTGCACAACGCGATGCAATTGGCGATAAGGAACAAGAACTACGGTTCAGCACTGAGCTTCGCCAACCGCATTATTGCCAATGGCGGCTCCAGCAAGCTGACCGAAAACGTAAGTATCAACCTTTCATTCCAAAGATTGCCATACTGACCCCCTTCGCAGGCCAAGAAAGCCAAGGCTCAATGCGAGCGCAACCCCTCGGATGCGATTGAGATTGAGTTTGACCAGTTTGCCGAGTTTGATATCTGCGCAGCCAGCCACTCACCTATTTACAGTGGCACTTCCTACGAGGAGTGCGCCTTTGACGGCTCCAAGTACCACAGCAAGTACAAGGGCACCGTTTGCAAGGTCTGCGGGGTGTGCGAGGTTGGCAAGCACGGCAGTGGCCTGAAGCTCTTTGCGTAAAGAGCTAGCTTAGGTAGTATAATAGATGTCGACCCGTGATGGGGTGAAGACTGCATGATTTGGTGCAGTAACGCTCGGCCGATGGGGGGAATTGGTCTTGGGAAAAGTTTACAGTAGACAGACTGGAGTGTCTGATGAAACCCCGGGCTTTTGATTGTTAGCAATAGTTTTGTGGGAGACGAATATATGTCATCATTTGATCCATGACCTCTGAGTGTCAGCGTAATTGAATGTTTGATGTCCTCGCGTGCTCAGTGCAGTAGAAGAGCTCGCCAGTCACCTGTAGTACCGAGATTGACACAAGTCACGCTGTCTGGGATGAATGCATGATGAGATCGTCAACGCCCGGCTTGGATTCCTGTATCCGAGCTTTCCTCTTTTCATGGTCTAATCGCATGAAAATATTAATACATCAAAAAAAAGATACGCCCATTCCTTCTGCAACCCACGTCTACACAATGGTCTCCAGTTCCCTGGCGTATCCCAACGCGTTCTCTATCACCATCTGGCTCATCTCCTTCTCGGTGGTGCCGTCCTCGGCGGCGACGCCCTCGGCGGTGTCGGGGAAGAAGATGTGGCCCTCCTTTAGGATCCAGCCGCGCGCCTGGGCGAAAGAGATGACGTCGCCCTCGGAGTCGAGGAAGAGGAGGGATTTTGCGGAGCTGATGGGCAGGCTGGGGTATGCGCGCTCGCTGCTTGAGGCGATTTCGGAGCGGATTTGGAAGGTGAGGATCTTAAAGAAAGCGAGTGTTAGCATCCATCAAAAGTATTTTCTGTTCTGTATAGATTCATCTTGGAAATTTTGACCCCAGGAGAAAATGTGTAATCGGGGGGACCAAGCACTTGCCTCTGAGAAGACACCGTACTCCTCGCTAGGCACCTCACGACTCTTGAGGGCGTTCCACACGCGGTCGTAGCTGCCCTCCATCAACCACCTCTCGAGACGGATGGGGTAGCCCAGGTACTTGTCTCCCTCGACAGCGCTGCTATCGCCGCCGCCCTCGCGGTTGGCCAGGCTCTCAAGCTCCGAGTGGAATTCGGCGTAGCGGCCCTGGGTGAGCAGCAGGAGCAAGTAGAGACCGGTGACCTTGTTGCGCTCGGGGACGTTGGGCGGGAGGACGTTGGAGGGGAGCTCGTAAAAGGGCTGGAGCTGCTGGACGTAGCGGGTGAAGGCGTCTGGGTTCTTTGCGCGGATGGAGGCGAGGGCGCCCAGCTCGTAGGTCTCGCGGGCGAGGGCGAGGAGCTGGGGGGAGGTTTTGGGGTTCGAGGGGGTGAGGGCGTTGAGCTGGAGGAGGTGGAGTTTTGCTTTGGAGAGGAGAGCGGAGGATTCGGTGTAGGGGAGGGAGGAGCCCTTGGTCTTGAGCTGGGTGAGGACCTGTTGGAGGTTGCGGTCCGCCATTTTTGTGGTGGTTGTGTATGTGTGTTGCGGGGTGGATTGGGTTGGTGGTGTTCCGGTTGTCGGGGACTGATGTCGGCAACGGTCGTGGAACGTCTGCAGGTGGTTGTTATTGTGGGAGGTCGATTGATAAGCCTGCCTCGTTGTGGTTTCTTGGACAGGAAATGGCGAGACGTGGGTTTGTGGTGGTGTTGATCGTGTCAAAGGTTGGAGTGTCCAGATGCTAAGGTCAAGGTAAGGTAGGTTCGACGCTTTGGGTGTTTGGCTCAGCAGGCTGAGAGGCTGACGAAAGGTGCCGTCAAGCTGGCCAGGTCCGTGCAGGGGTCCTGCCCACTATGGCGCTAGCTCTTCTCGGTTTAGGCAATTTTGGAGCTGCCTTGGAGCTGGTCATCAACGGAAACGTCGAGTGCTTTGCTGAGGTAATGCAGCCAGTTCACGTGATGCAAAGTCCGAAGGTATCGCCGGGCCCGGTCCCTGGTTCCGCTTCAGATTTCCCCAACTCCCGGCACCCCGCCGTGCCGGGTTCCGGCAGCATCTGGGAGAGACCTGCTTATCCTCCCGCACCTCCCATCCGGCAATTCGGCACCGCGACGCGTATGGCTTTCGGACAGTTGTCGAAAGCTTCTTTTCGCTTGACGAGCCAGCGTACCTGGTCAAGATCTACTTCTGTTGACGATGATGCGAGCGAAACCGAAGTCATCTGTCCAGTCTCCCGAGACCGGGCACCTTGCGCTTCGCGCGTCTAGTTCCTAATACGTGCTGCTTGATAATACCGAGCAGCGAGACGACTCTGCTCCACACTCGCCAATGGAAGGTATTCGCATGGCTTCCGGGCTTAACCTGTCTCAGCACTCATGGCGAACTCTCTGGGATAATGAGGACACTCGTGGAACTTTGGTTCACAACTTCTGAGTTCCGCCATGCTCATTGAACTTGGAGTTCTAAATGTCATGCTATACTCTCATACCAAATCGTTATTCATCAGGCGGCGATTATTCAAGTCATTAGGGACTGTATTTTCTCGATTTCATTCCCGCTAAAGTAGACTTCCAAGTCCCCCAAAGATAAATACGCCAGAAGAGACACTCGCCCCCTGAGTAAACCCCCGCTACGAGATTACAATCTTCTTGATATAGCTCATCATCTCATTCTCCTCTTTATCAAACGAATCAAAGAACGGCTCAACCCGCAACAAGTTCTCAATCTCCTCCTCGTCGGGAATCTTCTGCCTCATGTAGTTGACGGGTCCATCCTCAATCGAATGCGGTATGAACACGGACGCATTAGTCGTGATGGGCGTGCCGTCCTCCCGGATCCCCATGCCCACCGGATCGCCGTCGACGAACCACATACCCAGCACGGGGTACCACGAGCTGCCCTTGGCGTCCTTGAACTCGGGAAGTACAGCGAGCTCCTGCACAATGTACCCTTCCGCGCCGTAGTCCCCCGTCGACGCGTCCTGTAGGATCTCGCCGTCCTTCTTGAGCACCACGTCGGCGCCCTCGCGCGCAAATATGGGCTTGCGCGCAAAACTCGTCATGGAGGCTGGCGCCTCGTTGTCAAAGTACGTGGGGAGAAGCCATTTCCCTCGCGGGTCGTTCTTGAACATGTCCCAGAGAACAGCAAAGACGGCCTTGTTGCTCCACAGGAGCTTGTACGGCGGCTCAATCCAGACCGTTCCTCCGATGTAGTTCCCTTCCTCGTCGCGCTTGCCAATGTTCTCCATGTCCTCGAAGCACGCCTCGCCAAACTGCTGGTCGACCATGTACTCCCACGGGTAAAGCTTGAAGATGACGTCGATATGCTCCCCCTGCGCATCGTAGAACCGCCCGTCCTTTTTGGACTTTGCAATCTCCTCCATCGTCAGCGCCTTAGTCGCCCACCCGGCCTGCTGGCACGTTTCCATCAGGAGCATGGTGTTCATCGCATCCTCCCCCGTGGCCTCGCCCTCGCCGACGGCGAAGTGGACGGTAGGCTTATGACCCAGCTCCTTCTCGACGAGCGTCATGTTGCGCTTCCAGCCCTCGATGAGCCTCTCCGTGATGCTGTTGAACTGGTCGTTGCCGTGGCCCGTCTGCTCCATCCACAGCCACTGGATTGACGCCGCCTCGAGCAGCGATGTCGGCGTGTCGGCGTTGAACTCGTAAAACTTGGGAACGCGCAGCCGCGGGTCCGGGTGCTCGAGGCCGCCGAAGCAGATATCGAAGCGGCCGTAGATGCTGCCCCAGGCCGGTTCGCGATCCCACGAGGCCTTGATTTGCTTCAAGGCGAAGGCGGGGACGGCCATTTTCTTGGTGATGATGTCTGGGTGCTCTACGAGGTAGTCTGCTGCTTCGCAGCACATTGCAAAGACGTCTCGGGCGGCTTCCTCGAGGAGGTTCATCTCCTTTTCGGTGAAAGAGTAGTAGCGGTCGTCTGGCCAGTACGGCTCCGAGGCGCCGGGGGCCACGAGGTCCGCGAAGACGAGGCCTTGGCTTTGGACCAGGCGTGTGGCATTTGGCCTCTTTTGTACTGGAACACGACGCATTTTTGTTGTTCTCTTGGTTCAGATCGAGGTATAGAAAGAAGATGGTGCAGTACGGACGTTGCAGAAACAGACAGATCGGAACAAGGAAACCAAAAGACAGACACGACGACGCTTCGCCGCTGTGCCAAAGGGCAGCCTCACATACTTATTCACCAGCAGGTCTCCATTGGGCTGTCGCCAGGCCTACTCAAAGTTCGGATGAGGCGGGGATCACCCTTAATCTACGACACCCTGAATCCTGATACGGACACCTTTCTAATTGTCCCGATCCTGCGGACACTTATTTTGAGTTGGGGTTTGATGGGTGGATGGGAATTGTCTCCAGTTAAGTTTGCCGCTAGAAGAAGTCTAAATCAAATGAGGCTTTCTAGAAGCTTTGACATCTCCTCAGGATCCTATTATGATCTGCTCCCTCTCTCTTTCTTTCTGCCCCCAAAGACACGTTGCCGCTTAACCGTATTACAGACATGGTTGCACACTAAGAGAAAGATGAAACCGCAACTCACGGACACTGCGCGCTAATCTCTATCCTTTCCTGTCCACGAAGTACTCCGTACATAGGCAATATAAGCTGTATAGGGTGCGAAACGCGCATTGGTTCGCTGAACCATTCATTATTATTCAAACGACTCATGAGTAACGCAACTCATGTGGGCTACTGGCACCTTGGTTCGGCGAGTCAGGAAAACCGATTTGATTTGCTCGCCTGCCGTCTTTGAATAGATTTGGTTAGAATTGCTATTAATTCTACAAACCTCTTTGGTCTTGGCATTGCGCATTAACCTAGTAGCGATCTTGATCGACACCTACCTATCGACCTCGGCTTCACCGCGATAGCTGAGGTTTCTTGTAGTTGGGTGGCTCGCAGTGTATGGATGCAGTCATGCCACGCCAGTTATCTGATGTTGGTTGAGGACCTCAAAGCAAGAAATTATTGAGTCTCTGGCAATCGCATAAGTGTTAAGGTCCGGGAAGACCTGCCGCAAAGTTTCGCTCTCGCATTTTCAACATTTCCATCACCTATCTCGTCTCTCAAGATAAAGGTCCTCAGCAATTGAGTTTATTGGCAGTTCTAAGCGAATCACATGGACATTTTCGGAAACCCGTTTCGCGATACTCGAGTCGTTGCATGCAAAGAGCCGCGTACAATATGACTCTACACAACCCCCGCTAAGATCTTCATTTACGTGGGGAAACCGGAAACGTTTGCCGCATGAGAAAAGAATGTAGGCAGGGCCCCCGGCGGCTATCAAAAGTTTAGCGGAAGCTTGTTTTGTTGTATTATGATGCCCAGAGCCATAGTGGTATGGACTTTACAGCTGTCGTGGAGAATGAAACACGGCAACTTCTCAAAACTCGGGAATTCCTATTTTCAAAAATTCGAATCAGTTACCGGCTCTAGATTGTGATGATCACTATTTGTTCAATAAATGACTTGAGTTGGGTGGGGCGAGACCGAAAGATGTTGAGTACAGACGGTTGTGAACATCGCTCGGTTGAAGCGTCGGAATATCATCGGTCCAAGCCGAGCCAACACGATCGACAACCATTTGAAACACGGGTTACTCCGAACAACATCACTCAACTTGGCGACCATAGTACCTACTCTGTTTGCTCATTGGGGGCCTTAGCACAACTTATCGGAGCACGTGGTAGACATTGTGGGAGGAAAGTGGTGCCTTGCTATCAGGATGGCCTTGTGTAAGTAAGCCTGTAAGGTGAACTGAGAAACCGGGTGGATCCGTATGCAGTTTCGATTACGACTGTTTTTGCTTTGTGCCTTGATTTTGAAGACATGACAGAACCGAGGCTTCCTTGTTCTTACGGCGACATTTTGAAAAGAATTTCCCAAAGTAGATGGGTCTTGACACATCTTTGACAACTCGGCGTCTCGAGCCGGACGTCCATGAATCAACCTTGGCAACGCCGTCGGCGCAAAGAACATACGCCCGTATATCCACATTCGGTCACTCTCAGGCTTGCCTTGTATACGATAGAGCCACGATGATGGCTATTGTGGTGCGAGTAACTTGTAGCACAGGGAACCTTGGCAGACTACTTCTCGACAGAAGCAAGGCAAAATGGAAATATTGCCGTTCAAAGTTCTCAGACTCGGGAACAATTAAGTCAGATAATGGTGAGATACAATCTGGGAATTATGAGAATTCCGAGTCTGCCGACGGCGTGGCCGATTCTTTGCGCCGCAACCTGTTACCTGTGTGGGTAACTAGAAGGCCTCACCATCTCATCCATCTCAGGCGTCCGGTCGAATGACATAAATAGGAGGCCTTGATCCCGTAATAGAGGCCTTCTTTCTCTCACCACTCACTCAATACTCTTAACAACTTACATTTCTGACCATAAACAATTTCCCAAAAACCTATCTTCACTTTCAAACCTTTTCAAACCCAACAACTTCAACCCCTTTCTACCTATCTGAAAACAAACAACTCAAAACACATCCATAATGAAGACCCAACACATCACCCTCCCCACCATCCAGATCGCGGCCGCCGCCTTCTTCGCCGCCTCGGCCGAAGCAAAAACCTACTGCACCGACACCGCGGGCAAAGTTGTCGCTCAAACCAGCTGCGACGGCACCCAGCCCGCAAACACTTTTTTCCTCGCCGAGCACGAGGGAGACGACCTTCAGCTCGGCGACGTGATCGCCGAGGATAAAGTTGACGCCTCCGCCGTCGCCGCCCGCGACCTCGCGGGGCTCGAGGTCGAGGATGAGGCCGAGCAGGTTAGCGGTGGCTTCGGGCGCAGGTCGCCGCAGAGGCAGTGTGATCCGTCTCTTGGACGCTGCGTTGTTAGTGGTGTTGGTCAAGGTGGTAACGCCGGTGGTGGCTCCAACGGTTCTTAAAGAACTATACCGTATGGGTTTTGCTAGTCTCTGGGAAGAGTTTTGAATGGGCTGTGGTGGCTCTACTAGTATGGTCTGCAAGGTTGGAAAGGGCTGGACCAGCAGCAGGGAAAGAGATCCGGGGTCTGGTACTGGGATAGACTGTTACCTTCAAACCTTGCTTAGACAATAGATTGGTTTCTTGATGAATTTGAATGGTCTGGTCAAAGACTTGAGAGGACAAGCGAAAGTCTTATCCAGCGATACACCTTGCTCTACCCTTTGTGTCTCCTTGACCTGGATAATCTGTGTGTGGTCACGACTGATAAGTAGCTTTGCTAGATGGTCATAACAGAGGAGGAATATCGTCAGAAAAGTGTTGTCGGTAACCGATGAGGCGGCACCCCTGATTGCCCTTGAGATCTTAACTCTAAATACTGGCATGGGAATAACGGCCCACCTCGCTTGTGTCCATTATTGTGACACGTAATATCATGAGAGTCTCTTGCCCGTCCTCCTAGAGTTTTTGTGCCGGCATGGCGCTGACAGACTCAACAACAGGCGAAGATATGCACAGCAAAAGAAGAAGCTTATATGATGTGGAAAATAACATCGCAGCATCCCCGATTTTGAGACGCCTCGCTGAGTAATGCTGGTCACAGTAGTCTTTCCTGCTCCAGGATGTATGAAGAACGCGTGGACCACAGAGGAAGGTCACCTGATAAGTGATAGGCGGAAAGAAGATGAAAATAGTAAGCATGCGTGGGCTAAGGTTGGGTTAAAGTGTCGATCTGCCGCAAACCACCCGTCGGGAACCGAACGCTAGGCGCTGGTGACACATGAGCCTCTAGAGTCCACGGCGCTAGGTATACGCGCGGTTAAGCAGTTCCCAGTGGGCAGCAGCAGCAGCAGAAAACTCAAAAAATACGTGGTTTCGGAAAAGCAGAGTGTAGAGTAAACACGTGTCGATGGGTGGGCAGATGGAGTTTAGAAATATTGGGGATTTTTTCCCCCTTTAGCGTGATGCTTTCACACTGCAGGCAGAGAGCGTTCATCTCGTCTCTCCGAGTCGGGGCGGCGATGAAGTATGTTGCTGAGCGTCGGCTCTGGAGTCTGCTTGGGCAAGGTTACACTCAATGGCATGGTGAACAGGGCACGGCCTGGTTGAGATATGTTACTTTTGGACGGAAAGATGGGACGAGTTGGATCGGATGATGGCCGTTGTGGCATCTATGACGTGGGTTTGGGGAAATTCGGAGCGCCAAGCAGAAATTCATGGAACCAAGATTCGTTGCCGGCACGGAGTGGGAGAGGGAGGTATGAATTGGTGCTGCGATGATCCTGACTGCACTGCACCTGACCGCATGTACAGCTATCCAGGGATTGAGAATGAGATCCCATGATGGACTGGAAGACCCTCTAGTCAACGGCCAATCTTCACTTGCTTGGGCGTTGAGAGGTACTTAGGGCGCAAAAGGTGAGGGTATTCCCAACAAGCACCGTCCGTTATAGTTGATGGCCGAGCGGTACAATTCCAGTCTTGAACGGTGGAAGCGTATGTTGGCCCACGGCCCTATATAATGCCATGTATAGTTTGTTTTTTGCATTTCCTTGCATAGTAATTTTGGTGACGGTTGATGTTGTCAGGTGGTTTGTATTCCTTCCAGATGTACCCGAATACACGCCGGAATACTGTCATTTATTTTGAAGGCTATGAGTTCGAATGGGTTTTTCTCACATATGTTTTCCTTTCTCAATTTCAATCATTTTGGGGTCTGCGCAAATCGATATAGAATCATGATGCTTGCGAAGCTGCTGCCAAGGAGTGGAATGGACGATAACGAGACAAGCGATTCCGATTGCGATCGGGGACTTGGCCCCCAAAGAGACGGGACGGGCAGCTGCGGTAAGGTATGCAAAGTCACTCGTTGGTCACTCGAGAAATGCAAGCAGCAAGGGTCTGTTTCTATGTTTGGAAACAGAGCAGAAGAGACATTCTCGAATTTGACATTGTGGCTGAGCAAAGCGGGCTGCGCAGGGAAACGCGAGATACCCGAGTGGAGGAACTTTGATTGAGTTTTGGGACTTCGTGGTGTGAATTTCATTCATTGCCAACCAACACCCGGGCCGCAAGTGATTGGCTTGGCTTGGAGAGTGAGTTTCTCTCATGACGATTGTCAGAATTATTCTCATTTTCTCATAAAGAAACGAGAGGGATATGAATTAACCGACAATATGAAGGTTGCTAGTCTACGGGAGATCTCATAGTAAGAAGGCGTATGGAAATGAAATAATCGTATTGCGTACGGATAATGGGGTACAATGGAATGCAATGGATGAAAAAAAAAAAAAAAATAAAAAAAATAGGTGCCTTGGACTGTGAGATTGGGAGGGGCCTCTGGGGTCAACGGTCGGACAGTGGCGCAGGCTCCAGTGAAGCATCCAATGCCTGATTGGAATTCCTCCATGGGTTTCTTCTCCCTTACTGTGTACAGGGGCAGGACATGTGGGGCGGGGTGTTCTGCACGTTCTGTAACGCGATGCAGCAAGCAGCCACCAAAGGCCCTTTTAGGGTATGAGGTGGAATTAGAGGGATTGACTGCAGCGCAACGCTGCCGCCTTGTCTGTGTCGCGACAGCACGTCTTCTATTGCTACTCTGAACTTTGAAGTACTGAGATGGTGAGAATTATTGGCTGCTTCGTCTCGGCCAGATGCATCTTCCCGTCACGTTGCTCTCCGTGTGCATCTTGCCGTGTCGCATCTAATTACCTTAAGGTACCTCAGGTACTTACGTCTACCTTAGGTAGGTAGGAAGGAACGAGTATTCAGCGTGCTTTCTAAGCTTCCATCAAGTTGTAGAACGGGACGGGTAGCAAGCGAGGCCATGTGAGGGAGGACCGACCGACCCTTTGGGCTCTCCTTCCCGTCGTTTGGTAAAAACGGCAGGAAGCAGCAAGGTGCGATGGTGCCGCTCTTGCTCCTTCTGCTTCTGCTTCAAGAAAAATAATATCTTCTCAAAGGAAGCCTTCAACCTCACCACACCATACTCCTTCTTCAACCTCGCAACTGATATTATTCTTCCGCCCACCTCATCCAGAGTGTATCGCTTGGCGTCCTCGTCAAGCGATTCTTTCGACCTTACCCTATCGACCGACCTATCCATCTCGCATTCCGGAGCATAGATACCCGGATGTACAAGCCACCATCGCCAACAGAATTTCGACATTCGTCCATCCGTCCCGGTATGCGCCACTCGATCCCGCGGGTTCCTCCCAACTCTGTTCTAGCTTGATTCGGCCGAACTCTCACCTACCAAACGAAACACCCTGCTGTCATTCGAGAACAAAATATGTGGTATCCGTACTCAAGGGGAATGACACCCTTTGAAAGGTACAAAGCCCGCTGGGCGATGTACGCGCGGCTTGGCCAGGGACATGCGCCGGGTGCCGTGCGAGGCCCACCCTACAACGGCCGCGGCACTAGAAGCGCCAGTCGCGGTGGAACAGCCGCTGTGTCTGGACCACATTCCATCTCCGAGGGTCAGGTACAACAACTTCCACAAGGAGGAGGACATGGACAGGTTGGTTTTCATCTGGGAAAAGCCGGTGGTAAGTTTCATTTCCGTCCTTTGCCCTTTTTCCATCTCCCTCTCGTGGGAACCACCTCATTTTATCAAGCCGGGAGCCCGAAGGACCCCCGAACCGGAAATCTGCTGCTGCTGCCGCTGCTCTACGGAGCACCTACTCTTCTCCGCCTACCAACACCACGATTCCATGCATCTGCCGTGGCCAAGCGAAAGACGTACAGTCAAGCGCACAAGGATTTGAAATCTTCGCGCTTCCCAAGTGCCATGTGCACATGTCAGAATTTCAAAGGATTACCTATCGCTACTCTGCTTTCAACCACACTTGCTCTCTGTCTTCGGATGGCCACCGACTACCACTGCCACGCCGTCTGTTCATGCTGGTCAGAAGACATATCCTAGTCAGTGACGGAATGGACGGCCGTCAAAACGACGAAAGGAGGTCTCCAACGCTTATTGAACGTCTTACATGCCTCATCCTGGAGCGGCCCCCCTCGATTACCTTTCGGTACCTGATCCTCGAGACCAGCCCACCCCCTGCTCCGCCCACCGTCAACCCGGAAAGTACAGACGAAGTACCTTTGAATTCTCGAGACCGCAGCAAGGAGCTGCACAGCGACATACCGACATCAGCATGGCCATGACCACGAGCACTAAAAAAGACAAAGGCTTGTACAATGCTCTTCAGCTCATCCATACCTTCTGCTGCCACAGCGAGCTAGCGCCCGTGCTGCGGCTTGGGCGGTGGAGTACCATAGGCACACTCGACGACTTGCGACGAGACCAACAACCCCTCCTCCTCCTGGTATAACTTCCCTGGTCAGTCCCGCTTTCTGGGCAATGGGACAAACAGAAGGGAGTTCCCCCCCTCACTCCTGGCCCGAGAGAGAAATGCAACATTGGCACCTGGCACGCCTATCCGAAGCTGCTCCCATGTTTCACTAGCCGGCTCGCGCACACAAGAGAAAAGGGGACACTCAGCTCTTTCTGCGCGCTAAAAAGAAAGGGCCCGCCGTCGAGAATCCCAGATGCTTTGAGCTTCGACCTGGACTCTCCACCCCGCTTCCGGACATCCTCGCCCTGCGGTTCGAGACAGAGAGCAAGTGAAGGCAGAGACAGTTCATAAGAGGACCCAAAGACTTGGATATTCTCTCAAGCCCATTCCGACATCAGCTCAGCCTTTATTGATCGTTTTTGATTACCTACTTTTTTCCTTCGCCAATTCCCACCCCACTCAGGATTACTTTCCCCTCCCACACCCTTGCCGGGCGTACTCGAAAAGCAGATCAGCCCGACGAAAAGCAACAGCCAGCAGCAGCAGCAGCAGCAGCTCCTTTTTCCGGGGGGCTCCAGAAGGCGGCCGGCCCAACTGTCAGCAAAGAGACCACCACACAGAAAAAGCTGGCGGTGGCTCCAACCTAAACGTCATTCGACTCAACCCCCGCTGACTGATATCCTCCTATTTATGCAGGTGCACCTCAGCCCAAAAACACAACTGACGAGATGCCACAATTCGGCGCAACCTTCGTTCCTGGAGGGTTCGATGACTACTACATGCCCGAGGTCATTGCACCTGCTCCTCAACGGTACGCGTATTCCCTCATTTTAATCTTGGCGGATCGACCATGGGTCCCTCCTTTCCCGCTGGCTGGAACTGGAGATGGGGCTGTTTTTGGCGCCGCTCCTTGTCTTTGTTCCGTCCCTTTTTCTAACCCGATAGCCTTATGCTGACCGCACCTCTCCTCCAGTGTAACGCCTCAGGTCCCTCAGAACATGCAAAACGACCTTCAGCGCATGGAACTTGAAGCCCGCGAAGTCTCCCCGAACCGAGCAGCCGTCTCCAGCAACAACATTACCAACCGACACGGTCGTGAGCCGTCCCTGTCCTCTGTCCTCAAGCCTACCGGTTCTGGTGCGCCCTCGCTGCCGCCGAAAGGAGGATCCGACACCCAAGCCGGCGCGCCCCCGACCGATTCCTACAGACCCTTCCACGAGAACAGCGCGAGCGACAACCCTCATAAGATGCGGCCCAGCGCGGCGCCCTCGTTCTCTCCTTTCCCCAAGCTCACGGGGGATAACGTCCCCCCGACAGACGAGGAAAAGGAAACGATTCTGTGGAACGCTCGCGAGCATGTCCTGCACTCGAATAATGTTTCTATGCAGCTCTCATGGGCTCGCGACACCTTGGCTTGGGCTGAGATTGTCATGGATGCCAGAAGCCGAGATCCAGAGAGCGGCCGCCAAACACCAAACGTAGAGCATGAGCTGCGCGTCGATGCAATCAACATTGTCAACTACTTGGTGGGCCAGGAACATCCCGAGGCACTCTTTATGAAAGCAAAGTGGCTCGAGTTTGGAAAATTTGGCTGCAGACCTGACAAGAGAGATGCGTACACAAAGTACCAGCGCGCGGCAGAACTTGGCTACGCGCGTGCCGAGTATCGTCTGGGCATGCTGTTCGAGAACTCGAACGACTACAGCAAAGCCGTCGAGCACTACTACCTCGGTCTGCGACTCAAAGACTCGGCCGCTATGTACCGCTTGGGCATGATGAGTCTGCTTGGCCAGCACAACCACCCGAAAGACTACCAGCGAGGTCTAGACCTTATTCGGGAGGCCGCTGACGCCTCGGACGAGGATGCGCCGCAAGGGTCGTATGTTTATGGAATGCTCCTCGCCAAGGACCTTCCTGACATTGACGTTCCGGAGGCTCTGCTCCAGACAGACCTGCACCAGGCCAAGATGTACATCGAGAAGGCCGCTTACCTTGGCTTCGCCAAGGCTCAGTTGAAGATTGGTCAGGCCTACGAGTTATGCCAGCTCGGGTGCGACTTTAACCCAGCGTACTCGCTGCATTACTACGGACTGGCCGCACAACAAGGACAGCCCGAGGCTTCGCTCGGTGTGAGCAGATGGTTCCTGTTTGGATACGAGGGCATCTTCAATAAGAACGAACAGCTGGCCTTCAAGTACGCTCAAGATGCTGCCAACGCCAAGTTGCCGACTGGAGAGTTTGCCATGGGATACTACTACGAGATTGGTGTTCACGTCCCCAAGGATCTCCGCCAAGCCAGATTCTGGTACGAAGCGGCCGCTGACCATGGCAACAAGGACGCCAGAGGCCGAATCGATGCCTTGGATCACGAGAAGAGTCTGACCAAGGCCGACCACGAGACTACGACGCTGACGAGAATCAAGTCGCAGCATGGTTCTCAGCGAGGCAAGAGGCCCGATCGCTTCAAGCAGCCGAATACCATGCCGACTGTTTCCGAGAGCGCGCCGGTTACCCCGACCGATGCCCACCCCGGCTATCCGTCTACATCGGCCAAGACATCTCCTCACCCGTCGCCCAGAGTCCACCCTACTTCGGCGCCGCACGACAGCGTTGACTACCCTGACCCGTCACGGCCCAATAGCATGGGCAACAGGCCGGCCGCATTCACCGTGAACCTTGACTCCAACCTTGCAATCCGGCCCAAGTCGGCTGCACCATACCCAGAGGACGACCGCCCTGCTCCCCTCAACCTGAACAGACCGAAATCGACAGCACCGTATCCCGAAGATGAGATGCACCACGGCGGCGGCGGCGGCGGCGGCGGTAGAGGCGCTGGACCTCAGCTCTCCCCTCACTACGGTGGTGGTCGTCCCGTCTCTGGTCCGCACTCTGATCGCCCCGGCAGCGCGTTTGGCATTCGCACCGGTCCCGGTGGTCCTCCGGGACCTGCAGGCAACATTCGCGCTTCACAGTCGATGGGCAACATGATCCCGCCGGCCGGTTCGGACCCTCGCGGTCGCGTGCCTGTCGGAGGACCTGCAGGATATCGCCAGCCGAGCCCTGGTCCAGCAGCGCGACCACCCGGCCAACCCTACCCAGCGGCAGGCGGTCTTCCTCCCAATCCAGCCGCGAACAGGCCGCCCAAGCAAAGCCCGTACCCCAACCCGCAACAGGGAAGCTATGGCCCAAGCGACTACGGCCAGCCCACGCCGCCGCCTGCGCAAGCTGGCAACTTTGGTCAGCGAACATCATCCATTCCCCCTGAAGCTCAGTATGGATACGGCAGAGGTGCGGCACCTCATCGGGTTGACTCGATGCCGCTTAGCCCTTCAGGCAACCCGCGTCCTGGCCCTGGACCGGCGGGCCAGCCCCGGCCTTTTCCCAATCGACCAGACCTTGCCGATCAGCCAGGTCGAACGGGCAGTGCGCCACCCTCATCTCAGCCGCGTCCGCAGCAGCAACCCAGCCCTGCTCCTAGTGCTCAGACTATGCCCCCTCCCAAGAAGCAAGCGACAGGCCAGGGACCTGCCACCTTCGAGGCGATGGGCATTCCTAAGGGGAAGGATGAGTCTGACTGCGTAAGTAAAGCCGCACCGTTGATGATGAGTGCCTTGTTAACATTGCCGATAGATCGTGATGTAAATTTCTCTTTCAGATACCAATTTCACTTTACGACACGATGCTTTTCAACTTTTCAAGCCTGGCACCGGGGGTTGGTTTGAACGCGACTTGTAGATATACAACATCCCTTTGGGCTGATGAGACAGCCAAGCGGCAGTCCAACAGTACCCCAAGGACAATTGAAAGGCTTTTGAGTTCTCAAAGATACGACCCGGTGAAGCTCGCCCATATGTCCATTCGCCTCATTTTGTTTCGACATCACTTTGATTCCGCCTCAGCCGCCGCATACTGCGCAGCCAACGGCGCCAAGCACTCTTTCAAGCTCGTCCAGCCCTTGCCACCCTGAAGACGTTCCATCAGCTGAGTGGCTCTTTCGTTGGCAATAGTGCCCTTATCGGAGGGGAGATCGGGAAGGTCGTCGGGGAAGGTTCGGTCTGGTTGGATTTGGCGGAAGGCGGCGAGGAGATCGTTGATATTAAACTTGCCTGCGTAGGCGATGAGGCGTTCGGACTGGACATCTGGGAGGAGGAGTGCTGCAATATGGATTCGAGCTATGTCGATGACATCGCAGTACCATTCTGGGAGGGGTTAATTTGGGACGCAAAGGGTGGGGGTCATGGTTGTTTTAAGTATTCCGAGTGGGGCAGGTCAGAGCAGCGGGAGGGGATCGTGTACTTACGAGCTGGGAACATTGCGACAAACTCGGGCGTGATGTTTCCCTGCCAGAGGGGTCGCATTGCGCCAACGGCAGTGGGGAAGCCTTGGTGATCCGGGAGGAGGACTCTGCCCAGGGCGGCATTGGGCACGACTGTCGATTATTCACGTTAGGCCCGGGGAGATGAAAGAAGAGGAAACCTGAACACAGAAAGAGGAGGACAAGGAGATGTGAAGAGGAGAACGAGGGGAATTGGACACAAAAAGAAAGAGAAATATATCAATGAACATACTCGAATTCAAGACAAACCCGGGCTTCTCTTCCTCATACCACTTCCACAACTCCAGCTCGGCCCTGGTCTTTGCGGCGGAGTAGGTGATGTACCCGCCCGCCATGCCCTTGGGCCCCTTTCCGGAGAGGGCGATGGCCACGGCCTGGTGGTTGTACGAGGTCGCGTCGACGGTGTAAGGTTCTCCGGGGCGAGGCATGGCGGCTGCGCCCGAGGAGGAGGTGTAGATGAAGCGTTTTACGCCGGGTGTATCTGGAGAGGGAGCGGCGAAGCGTGCTGCGGAGCGGAGGATGGAGAGGGTTGCGTTTACGTTTGAGGTGATTATTTCCTCGGGGGTTGGGCCGTTGGGGGAGAAGTTCATTATTGCCAGGGTGTGGATTACTGCGTCGGCGCCTGGTGGGTTTGGTTAGCTTTCAATCGTTTGGAGTCATAGTTTGTGGTGAGATGGGATTTGAGGTTGAGTGAGAGCCGAATGCCCCCCCCCCCCCCTTTTTTTTTCGTTTTTTTTTCATCTCTTTTTCGTCACACTTGACATGAAGATCAAGTGAGAAGGATACGTGTGTATGTGTGACTAGGTATATGTGAATGGGTAAGGATGAAACGAACCATCTACGACGCTATCAAACGCCCCGTCCTTCTCGACGTCGGCGACCTCGTGGAGGGTAAAATTGCCGGGGCCGTAGGTCTTGTCAAAGTGGGTGGCTAACCATGCTGTTTTGGACGGGGAGCGGACGGTGCCGCGGACCTGGTGGCCTTGGAGAAGTAGTTGGTTTGCGATGTGGCTTGCGATGTAGCCGTTTGCGCCTGTGAGGACGATGGTGGAGCCGGTTGGCAGCGTCGGGTTGGGGACGTTGAGGGACATTTGTATTTTGGGATGTTTGGTTATTGGATTTGTTTTTTATGGTTTCTCTCTCGAAGGAAGAGGGGTTATGGTTAAGGAGGTTGTTGGGGAAAAGAAGAGGTGAGGTGGTGGTGGGCTTGGGAGTTCATGATGATTGTGATGGAGGGGGGCTTGAAGTTATATGTCTGATGATGGTCTAGAGACTGGGAGTGGTGTATAGAGACAGGTCGGACTTTTGAGGGGGGAGAAATCTCCGTCTTGGAAGTTGGGGAAGTAAATGAAATACGATTTCTCAGCTTTTTGTCGTCATGGAAGAGATTGAGAATGTTTGGTTGGTTCCGTTAGGGGGTAGAGGCTTGGTGGTTTGTGTGAAAGTTGGGATGGGTGATGGGTGTAGTTCATCCCACCGGAGCCGTTCGCGGGGCCGGGCCGAGGGGAGGTGGGTGGAGGGGGGAAAGATTATGTGAGCATTGGGCGGGCGGCGGGCGGGAGCCGGGAGGGGCATGGCATATGAGTGGGTTAGTAAGGTATTGGATTGTGGGGTTTTGGAGTTTAGTTCTACAACGACGAAGCTTCGAGTGCGTTGGTGGTTTCTTGAGGTGGTTGTGTTGGTGATGTGATTGATTTGACTGAGTCTGATGTACTAAACTTCGTCATCGTATCTTCGTACGAGAATGAGCGATTACGAGCTTCTACTCTGCTTGATACACGCCTGTATCTGAATAAGCTCACTCCTTTTTACACTTTGACCTGGATAGTCATATTTTGTTCTAGAGAGTCATTGCCAGGGTCGCAGCAGTCCTAGATGATCAGAGATTGATCACATGCAAATATCTTGCAGAAAGCTCGAAAGAACGGAATGATTCGTGACTAGTGAGTGACTGCAAGGTCCAATGTCAGGATGTCTCTGTACTTGATGCTGGGATTGGTCTGTTGGAAGCAAGCAGTTGTGACCGCGTCGAACTGATTCCAACCAATCACCCTCCTACCTCATGTGATGTCTGGTGTGACGCTCCAACATCTCAAAGCCTGGAGGAATCGATTTTCGATACGAAGTAAAAGTTGGATATCTGGTGAAGAGGAAGTACAGAGCGAAGAAACGTGCTAAAGTCATGTCACGTGTGTCAAAGACGACAGCCGACTTCATTTTACCCAGTCTTACCATATCGCCGCAGTGTTGATCTGGGGAGTTGACGACCATCTCACATGAAATTTTTGAAATTGTTAACACCGAGGAGCACCTCGAAATTAAGGGGACCAAATAATCGTGCAGTGAGGCAATATAGAAAAGAAATTCAGCGTGATGTGATGGATGAATGGCACTTGAACTGCAAGACGACGGGGAGGTGCCCTTTCTTCGGCGGATGATCGTGAGATATGGCTTCTTGTAAATAGTCATTAACCAAATATTGAGGTTTTCTCATCAACTTTTCATCTTACAAGATCCATCTCTCACTTGACGACGTGATCTACTCCAAGTATCAAGTGCCTCAGGCCTGGGGCACCTGTCATGGAGCAGGTAGACGGGAGGCGCTTCAGTCTCACCTCTTTCTTCGCCTCCATATTCACCCTCAAACTCACCTTTATCTTCGTATTCACCTTCCTCCGTATTTGTCTCCCCCAGACTCCAGCTCCCCTTCTACATGAAGCCCTCACCTCGCAAACTTTTCTCCCACAACAATCCACACGCGTGACGCGACTCCTTCCCATCCAGACCGGAGCTCTCTCTCTCTCTCTCTCTCACACACACACACACAACTTTGACTTCATCTCCTTCGTTCCTCCATTCAGCGCAAGAATTTCCTTCCTGTACTTTCTGTGTCCTCTCCCTCTGAACCACCCACCGCGCAAAAGGACATCTCTTGCCCTCTCATCGGTCTGTTTACCTTCTTTCATCCACTCGTCACCATCGCGACTTTCGACCCATCTTCACTTGCGCCTCGTCTGCACTTCGCCTTTACTTCGTCGCACTTCGCCCGCGTCTTGCCTGCCCTTCATCGCAAGCACAATGAGAGCTAGCACTAGTCACTACAGCTCTCGAAGTGAGTACTCATTTTACATTTCATTCCCTACTGTCTACATTTGGACTGGCCGGCTCAGAAACCAGTAATTTGTTTTAGGCATCACCACAACCTCCCTCACGCTCCTCCTCACCTCATTCCCATCCTCTAATGCATATTTCTTCAGGAATACCAAGCAAGAAAGCTATGAACCGACAGAACCTGGGACAGGGCACGTTGAGCATGGCTCATCACTCTCGGAAGCGACCTGCTAACGTCCTCGATGAGAGCGATGACGACTATGGAGCGGACCAGCGCTCCACCAACGCTTCAAACGGCGGGGGCAGGCTCCAGCAAAGGCTCCGACTAAACACATGGTAACTACCATCAGATACTTTGAACAGGCGGCCCACCAAGCCATGAGAAAGGAGATCATCCACACCCCTGACCTCAGCGACATGTACAACGACATCATGCACACCGTCACAACTACTCGGCAGACAGAAGGCCTCCTGTTGGGTGCAAACACGTACCATTCAACTACCAAGTCGGTCTTGAAGAATAAGGGTCAAGCAGAGATTGTTGACCTCATGCGCTATCTCAAAGCCGAAGTCTTTATTCGCCTTGACAACTGGCGTGCGAAGCCCTTGGCGGATTGGTTTAACATGGTTCATGACGCTCGTCTTGAGAAGAAGTTCCGGAACAAATACTGGGCTGCCAATCAAAAAGCCAACATGAGCAGCATTCCTTTCTTGTTTAGAAAGATCAGAAAGCCACTGATCAACTCCAACACTCAGCTTGCCGACGTGTATTTCGTCGATGCCAGGAGAATCATGCGCCGCTCTGTCTGGGTTCCTGGACCTGAACATCCCATCATCCAGAGTGCCGTTGCCATCATGGTCCGAGCCGATGAGGATATTAGCTTCAAGGAGACTCAACCCTTTATCGTTCAAGTCTGGATAGCCTGGTGTCTTCTTCAAGACGACCCTTGCATTGAGACGAGCTACCTCGCCACCATGATCCACGATCGTGCCAGCAAGAACTCCGACCTCAGCACATGCTTTGCTCACGAGTTTGCAGCCTTGCGCAGGGCCAAGAGCGCACACTCTGACTACAGTAGTTACGGCAAATGGCTACATATGCATGGTCGATGCCATATCATTGCCTTTGATGAGTTGATGGCGAGAGAGATCGTTGTGACCATGAATGGCGGAGTTCAATATCCTGCCAACAACACCAGGCAGAGCGGTAAGAACACCACAAAGACCACTTGAACAAAGACTCAAATCACTGACAATTGAAAAGGGAACAACAACTAGGGACAGGCAGGTGCCAGAACGTCACTCACCAAGCGGGATCGGGATCGAAGCCCTGAGGAGCTCTCTGAGTCTCGGGCTTTCTCTCGTCCCCAGCAGCAGGGCCGCGCCAGTGAGGAGACTCGACCTACCACGAACAATCAACAGTCGAGTCAGCAAAAGAAGACAAAGGCTGCATATAGAATTGTGGCAGGAAGTCCCAGCAGCCTCCATGGATCCACCTCTCGAGCTCAGCCCGGTGGTTCAAAATCTTCTCTACCGACCTCCTCAACGTCAATCTCGTCCTTTTCAACTCCAACCCCAGCTATAACCCTTCCAGCTCCAAAATCTTCAGTTCCAACTCCTTCCGCTTCTACTGGCATGTCAGCGTTCGCCGCTACAATTCCCACCACGACTGATACAACTTCGGCAACTCATAGCACGGCAGCTCTTCCAAACGCGACAGCAGCTACCATGACCATGGCGGATTACAATGCGACCAAGTCACTGACCACGGCTGACGTCATGGAAATATTCAACTCGATGATGGACTCCCACAACGTGGCCATTGCCGCAATTCAATCTGACATGTCGCAGGCTGTCACCATCGCAGACCTGAAGAACTTCGCGGAGAAGCTGGTTGCCGATCTTGACAAGTTGGTTGACGCCAAAATCAACAACGTGTTCGACGAGAAGCTGAACGAGAAGCTTTCGCCTATGTCAGATATCGTCACGGCGATCCAGGGCGACTTGAATGCAGCGTCCGACGCCATTTGCGAGATTGACAAGAAAAGTCTTGACGATGACGGGTGTTTGAAGGCCGCGGAACTTCACTTGATGCAAGTCAGCAATGATATGGGTGGTTTCAAGCAGCAGCTTTCCTTATTGGAGAAGGCTCTGACAGCACAAAGAGCCGACGTCAGGGAAGCCATCAAGGAAGTCAAAGGAGACATTAGCGTCGGACAATTCAAGCAGGAAGCCTTGTACGAGGATCAAGAAAAGATCATGGACAAAATCCGAAGCATCAAGAAAAAGCAAGATGCTTACGAAAAGTCTCAGGCGGCTGCCATAAGAGAGTTACATGAGAGGATCCTTTCCAGCTCGAAGTCTTCCGAGGACGGCAAGAGTGCCGATTCGATCACTTGCGCTCCCTACGCTCCCACCCCGAAGAAGGGCTCGTCCACTCGAAAGCAGTGAGGCATCACTCGAACTTTGGTTGTCTACCCTCGCAGCCTACACTTATTGTACCGGCTCGAACAATATCACGAGATGTGGCACTACACGAGGAAATGAAGGCTTTTAACGACTTGACGAATGATGTGAGAATATGACGCAGATGACGACACAGACGAATATCAGTACTACCCCAACCTGAGCAGCGGCTTTTTTGCCTTTGGAGAAGCGGTGAGAGATTTGGCTAGGGTTCAGAGGAACTGGCATATCGAAGGAACAGGGAGTGGTTATTACTGGAAAATGTGAATGTTGGCGTTGGATGTTGGTTGATTGGCTGTACGGAAAACAATGGAACGTAGCCTTCGGTCCTGGCACAATTGTAAGATATTCTATGACGAGCAATCAGTAGAGAGAGAGAGAGAGACTAGAAAACCAGTTGCTCGTTACTCTGACGTTCTATCACACCGAGTGAGGGGGTGATATGGCACGATGTAATTTGCCAAAGACTGAAGGAGCTCAACAAGGCCAACTCGGGTGTCAAGCAACCCCTGAACCTATCATCTAGACCCAACGGCTGCGCGGCGGAAATTACTCAGCACAGCAATGAGATCATTGGTCCCCAAGGCGAAGCGGAAGTTGGAACCATTCAGGCACTTTTTGAATGTGGTAAGACGAAACCAACAGCCGCGGTGCGTGGCTGTGTGAGTGTGTGTTGGTGAAAAGGAGAGCCACAACCGCGTCCAACTGGCCCTTGAGAAGAGCCACCCCCAGTTCCCCAGCACAAGGCTCTCTCGCACTTTTCAAACTGAGTCAAACCCATGGAAGGGAAACCAACGCACGTGAGATTCTTGAAATGCGCCTAGATTGCTAGGATCAATTAGGTTCTGGGTTTGGTGCCAATCAATGTGGTGGTATCTTGACAGCGGCTGTGCCCGTCTTTGCTTCACCTCGGCACTTTTGATACGTACAATTTCGCTTTTCTGTGGAATGCGATTTATAATCTGAAGAGTTGACTGATATTCAGTCACTCATAATTACTCTTCTTTCGCTTCTTTGCCAGTGGAGATTATTCAGACCACATTCTTTGTTGTAAATGGCTTCGTCTGTTCTACCCACTTACACTTTTTCAGCAGGAAAGAGGCGCAGCGTTGTAAAGACCCCTGTCGAGATATGGCCGGTGTTGGAGGTCGCTTGTTGGTCACTTGGACTTGACGTAGGTTGAATGCAGTGCAGCACACTTTTCAATTCTACATCATTTTCTTTTCTGACAATCCCGGCTTGCTTTCTTCTTCGTACTTCTTCCTCTCCCCTTTTTCTTTTCCAACCCCTGTCGACGGAACACTTTCTCCATAGAATGTAAAGTTGACGAATAACGTTGGATCCCCTTCTCCAGCGGGAGACGCAGCAAACGTGGGCCCTGCAACGACCCTTTAGGCAAATGCGAACAACAGGACAACCTGCCGTGACTGACCAATGCGGTGGGATAGCAGACGTGATGAACGACAGTCTACCCGTTGGGGGCCTTTTTTTTTTTTTTGGTTTTGCGAATGAGGTCTCGATATCTGGCCTACCTACCTGGGTAGCCGGATTACGGCCGTTGGAACGCCCAACCGTAGTCTGTCTGGCTGTCTACCTACCCGTTCGTTTACTCTCTTGCTGTCGTTGGTGCTTTGGCTTGGGGTGGACAATGAACCGGGCCGTTGGATCACAGGGACAAATGTTAATACATATAAGGATGGCCAGCGAAGGGGGTTCCTGCTTGGATATCTGGGAAGAAGAAGGTAAGAGTCACCGACCTCAACTTGCTCTGAAGTCTGCTCGAGTGAAGTACAAACACCTATTTAACCATACCAATCTTTGTTTGAATCTAGTACATCCTTCTTCCTCCAGCAGAGCAAATCAAACTCGAACCACATCTCTCAATTATTTTCACCCTATCTTCCTTCGGCTCAAGCCCTCTTCTCACTCTCTCACTCACTCTCCACACAATGAGACTTACACGGCCCTCCCGCTTCGAGCGCCTCGGCTCGATACAAATCAACGAGCTCCAGCGCGTCATCGAGCTCGACGCAGGCTCAGGACGCAGCACCTCTTCCAGCCTCACCGTCTCGCGGGAGGATTTTCTTGCCATAGAGTCGCGCATGGCCATCGTCGTGCTCTGCATGAACGAAGAGTTCCGCACAATCGAGTCCGTCTTTTCGGGCATCCCGCACGACTGCCTCATCGTCCTCGTCTCCAACAGCAACCGGGCACAGGGCGGCTACAACGACCGGTACGAGACGGAAGTCAACATCCTGCAAAATTTCTGCCGCGAGGCGGATCGCTTCGCCGTCGCGGTGCACCAAAAAGATCCCGACGTCGCTGATGCTTTCGCGGCGGCGGGGGCACCCGAGCTGGTGAGCGACGACGACGGGCTCGTTCACAGCGGTAAGGGGGAGGGGATGCTCGTCGGCATGGCTGTTGCCGCGCTGATGGAGAGGGAGTACGTCGGCTTCGTGGATGCCGATAACTATATCCCCGGCTCCATCAACGAGTACTGCAAGAGCTATGCTGCCGGGTTCCACCTCTCGAGGGCGACGGCGGAACATGCCATGGTCCGGGTGTCGTGGAGCTCCAAGCCCAAGGAGCGGAACGGGCGGCTGATGTTTGATCGGAGGGGACGGAGTTCGCGGGTGGTGAACGAGTGGTTGAATAACCTCCTGCAAGAATTCTCTGGTTACGGGACGGACTGCATTACGACGGGGAACGCGGGAGAGCATGCCATGACAATGTCCCTGGCGCTGAAGCTTAGGATGGCGAGCGGGTTTGCCGTCGAGCCGTATGAGTACCTCTACCTCCTGGAGCAGATGGGCGACTTGGATCATCATCAGCATCCCTACAACCACATCAACCACCAAAGACTCGACGACGACAACAACAGCGACACGCTCTCAGACGCAAGCAGCCCGATATCTCCGTCGTCAATGTCACAACTCCTGTCGCCTCCCGCCTCGCCCGTCAGCCTTGGCAGCATTAGCCGCAGCAGCAGCAGAAACAGCAGCCTCGGCCGCAACCGCAGCAGTAACGGCTCCTCGCGGCAGCAACACGCCTCGGTGCAGATCCACCAAATCGAGACGCGGAACCCGCACCTGCACGACAACAAGGGCGACGAGCACGTCAGCGACATGCGCGCGCAGGCGCTGCACATGCTGTACCACTCGCCCATGACGCCGGAGCCGATGAAGGCGGCGCTGCGCAAGTGGATGGAGGACGAGGGGGTGTTGGCGGTTGGGGAGGAGGTGCCGCGGGAGCGGGTGTACCCTGCGCTTGGGGAGCTTGATATGGCGAGGCTGGCGGGGTTGCTGGGCGGGGAGAGTGTGAGGAGGATGGTTGGTGGGTTTCCTTGACATTTCAATCTGTTGTTTTATGTCTTTCTTTCTTGTAGTTCTCTTTTGTTTCCTTTGTTTTTACTCTTATAGATACTTAAATTCTTCGTTGAGATAGACATAGCGTTCTGGGGTTTGGTTTTGTTGCAGCTTAGGTTTTTAGCATTAGATAGATATCACCAATGAACAAGAGATACCATTTCGTCTTGACTCTTTGTCTCCAATGTGCTATTGTCTAGAACTGTCACGAGTAATGACGAAAAGACGGTAGAATTCTGACGGAAGTCAAGGACTGTCAAACGGCCGTAGCTGTGCTTCTAGAAGAGGGGGGTCCGGTGACTTGCATCGGGTCACCTGCCTTCCGACGGATGCGCTCCGGGTTTCAGTGTGTCGAGAAACTTGGGAAACTCGTTTGAATCCGGGATATAGTACATTCCTTCTGCATTATCCTTTCCTAGCAACTCCGGAGGAAACGTGGGGGCCGTAACGCGGGATTGGAATTCATGAATGATCATTTGATAGGATGCGTCTGCGATGCGGGGCAGCCAGCTTCCTCCGGTACCTTACGGCCGGGTGGCACAGCTCGCCTCGCACTCGATTATGCACGAAATCCGAGAATCTGCATGGTGGTGGTGGTGGTTTCGCACGCCGTTGTTCGATAACGGCCGCGCCAGGGAAGGTGGAGGGTTGTTTTCCGGCATATGCAATGCGGGTTGTATGACTTGGGGTTATTTGGTACGACGTCCTATTGGTGAGGAGTGAGGAGTGCGGATGAAGTGTCTCACTTTACCTTGTCTTGGCTTTGCCTTATTTTGGCTTTAGTTTGACTCTGGTCCGACATCTTGCTGCGAGGATTAGTTGGGGTCGACTTCTTGGGTTTGATAGGGAGTCGTTGACAAGCTGTCTTGCTGCACCTTTACCAAGAGAGAGCAGAAGAAAGCGAGATACTGATGATGACGGCTGTCGGTTGGAAATGGCGATTATTCCGGTTCGGAGAGGAATAGCAGTGATGGCGGTGCGTTGTGAGGATCTGGCGAGGATGTAAATAGGTAACAGCTTGGGTTTGTCAAGATTAATAGAACATCGGCACTTATCTTGATCACTGCAAGGCATTGTTAAATAATTACATTAAATAACTTGATGACGAGTCAACGGTTCTAACCGTATCATCAACTCCACATCACACTCGGTCCATCTAACCCTTGTAATGGAAATGAGACCGTCTAGAAAAACACATGAAAAGGCTCCCATCAAGCTCCAGATGATCATCACTTCATCAAACCTTGACCCAAACCTTCAACCCCATCCCAGCCCTCCTCGTCTTCACCATCTTCGCCGCACACCAAAAACACATTCCAGCAAGCAAACACGACCCCGCATACACCTGCGCACCCACATACCTCCCTCCCTCGGCCTGAATAATCGCCCCAGCGATCGGCGGACCCGTCAACACCGCAAAACTCACAATCGTAAACGTCATGCCCATCCGCGTCCCCTGCTTCCTCGGATCGCTCGTCAGCTGGCTCAGCGCCGAAGGGAACAGGCTCTGAATCGCGCTGGCGACGAGGCCGTAAAAGGGAGTCCAAACGTAGAGCCCCGCTGTCGAGGAGACAGCGACCCAGCAGTACATGAGGATACCGGAGGCGAGGGACATTGGGA